GGGGGGGGGAGGCGATACAATTTGATTGTTGTCTCATGATATCGCCCTCGCTTGAAGCAAGAAGATAAAGCCATTTGTGTCACTGTCGTATATTGAATACCTACATCTACATCGGTCACACTTCACAGACCATATGACCAGGTGAGTGATGAGTCGAATACACATGCAAAGTATCAGTGATACATGTAAGTACACATACTATGTGAGGCAGCGTGGTGGAATCAGGCTCCGGTCAAAATATCAAAGTGAAGAGACTGGCATTTTTCCGAAGGTTTGTGAATTTTTATCGAATTTTTCTTTTTTGGTTCAACACTTTTCATGCCCATTAAAGAACACGTTTCTGGGTTGAATTTTACTGGAAAAACGTTGATTAAAAGGCACCAAAAAAGTAAATTTTCAGTGCCCACGGACTCTCAAGCTAAGGAAATAACTCACTTTTGGTGGCCGGCATTTTCTCACTATTTTTACCTCTGGTAGTACCGTAGAAGTTTTACGGCGCTCGCAACTGCATAAGGTCAGATTTTTACCCCTGAAACCAGGTGACCCCGAGCTCCTTCATTCGCAAATATCTCGACTTCCATTCAAAATAAATGGACATTAAAAAAAAATGCAAAGCAAGATAAACGCACAAACTTTAAGAGATGATACCAATATGCGCATGCCCACAAATTGACGAAAGCCTGATTCCACCTCATCGTGACACATAAGTAATAATATTATTGTGACATTACTCCAACAAACAAGAACATGTAATTTACACCAGCATCAGAGTTCAGTCTACAATGAAAGACGCTCATTGAAAAGATACGCACAGACTAAAGCCATAGGAAAGAAAAAACCCCCACTTTGCTCAAAAATGCACTGACGTAATAAAACTAACAAAGAAATTCTTTGCTCAAAACAACACAGACTTAACCAATGAAACACGCATGGCTAACACAAACTCTTTGTTCAAAACTACCCAGAAATAAAAAAATGAACACGCATGGGTAACACAAACTCTTTGTTCAAAACTATACAGAAATAAAAAATGAACACACATGGCTAACATATAATAAACGCTTTGTTAAAAACTACACCGAAATAAAAAATGAACACACATTGCTAAAGCAAATTCTTTGTTCAAAACTACACAGAAATAAAAAATGAACACACATGGCTGACACATAAACACTTTGTTAAAAACCACACAGAAATAAACAATGAACACAAGATACTAACTCAGAAACTCCGACAAAGGCCAACAGCAAAGAAGAAACATGCACAACAACATGCCAACTGATTATCATCAACTTTTCCCTCTCTCTATCCCCCCCTCTCCCTCTCTCTCTCTCTCTCCCCCCCCAAAAAAACAACAACAACAACACAAAAACAAACAAACAGCAAACCTCCTCCACAAACTCCCCAGTGGGTGGTCGGCGGGTGCTCTGGTGTGGTTTGCTTCTTCTTCTTTCTTCTTTTTTATGTTTGTTACTCTTTTGTAACACCTCTAGTCTTCGGCCCTTCTATATCACCTTATTGTGTTGCACGTGCCGTGAAACTTTTACTAAGACAAAACAAAACTCCCCCAGAGCGAGACAAGTGCCAGAAGTGATGACGTCACAGATC